TAAAAAATAAAATTCACAAACAAGACAGTAACAGAGACCAAATTTATCCTGCCTAAAAGAGGTAGAAAAGTGGATGTTATTATGAAACAGTGTTTTATAGACATTGGATAGTAGGCAGAATAGGACTCATATTCCTAAAAGGAAAGAAATCCCACAATTGTACTAAATTATTGCCTGAAGGCAGTTAGTTATAGGGAGTTACAGGCCATTGTATAGGGAGAATAAAACAGAGCTCCGTGGTCTCACTGAGTTGAGGAGACAGACTTTAGGGAGACCATGGCAGCTAAAATTTGAAAAGCAGAATATCAGAGAGGATGGAGCTGCCCAAAGAGAAAGCTTCAGATATCTGCAAAGGAGTCTGCTTGAGTCTTTGATCAAGTATTGATTGGTTCTATCTATATACGTGAAAGGAAACTACTTATGGCCAGGAAAAGGGGTAAGCAGAACAATTTGTTGAGCTCACAAAGTTCTGGGAATAGTTTGAGTTTTTATTGGCTGGAGTAGAAAAGACCTCATGATACATGGGGCATTGGATACAGTCATCAGAGTTTTACCTTTTACTGGGGATAAATTAGCCTTAGACTATAGGCTGCTCTAGACCTGCCCTAACAAAGCTTAAAAGTAAGCCTCAAAAGAATCAACCTCTTTTCAGGTGTGATGGTTCACACCTGTGATCACTTGAGGCCAGGAGTTCAAGACCAGCCTAGACAACATGATGAGACCAGTTTCGACAACAATAACAAAGAATTAACTGGTTCCAAGTAACCTAACTGCATTCCAGAACAAAATAAATAATTATTTAAGTTATACAACAAAGTCCAGTAACTATTAAGGTAACATTATAATGTTTAGTATCTAACCAAAAATTAGCAGCCATGCCAAAAAGAGAGTATAACCTTTAATACAAAGGAAAACTAATCAACAGAAACAAAACCAGAAATGACAGAAGTTAGAGCTGGAAGGCAAGGATGTCATAGTAGCTTATGTTTTGTGTTTTGTATGTTCAAAGGAGATAGAAGAAGACATGAGCATGCTAGGAAGAGAAATAAGACAATTTTTAAAAAAGTTTAGATGAAATTTTAGATATAAAAAAAATACGAGAAAAAGATTTAATAGATGGGTTAGACAGAAGGAAAGACCAGAGAGTTTTAAGACACAGAAATAAAAAAGTCCAAAATAAAGTGCAGAGTGATTTAAAAAAAGATTGGTAAAAGTCAAGAGAACATCAGTAACATACAGAATAATGTAATTTGGTTTAATGAAGTTATAACTGGAGTCCAAGAAGGAGAAGAACATGTGTGGAAGTAGAAAAAATACGTGCTTAAAGAAATAATGGCTGAAAATTTTCTAAATTTGATGGAAACTATAAACCCACAGGTCAAAGAAACTTAATAAAGCTCAAGCAGGCTCGTTGCCCGGAGTTCAGTGGTTAGGGTGCTGGCCACATACACCAAGGTCGGCGAGTTTGAACCTGGCCTGGACCTGCTAAACAATAATGACAACTGCAACAAAAAAATAGCCAGGTGTTGTGGTAGGCTCATGTAGTCCCAGCTACTTGGGAGGCTGAGGCAAGGGAGTCGCTTAAGCCCAGTGGTTTGAGTTTGCTGTGAGCTATGATATCACAGAACTCTACCGAGGGTGACATAGTAACATTCTGTCTCAAACAAAAATAAATAAATAAAGCTCAAGCAGAATACACACAGCACTTTGTAAGCCAAACCAAAGTTACCAAAGAAAAATGAGACATTATTAATAGAAGTAAGATAATAGTAGGCTTTTCTTCAGAACTATATGCAAATGAGGAAATGATGAAGAGACATCTTTAAAGTACTGAAAGAAAAAAAAAGTCAAGTTAGAGTCTTAATTCAGTGAGAAAATCTCTCAGAAATGAAGATGAAGTAAAGGCTTTTCAGAAAAACAAGAGTTGAAGGAATTCCTTGCCAACAAATTTACACACTAACTAATATTAAAGGAAGTTCTCTAGGTAGAAGAAAAATGATATAGATGGCAATTTCTACACAGGGATGAAAAGTGCTAGAAATGCTAAATCTGTAGTTAAATACTATATTATTAAGGGATAATTATCTGGAGAACGTGAAAAACTGAATAAAGTGCATAGATTATTAATTAATCTATTAATTTATTTGTTTGACATATGTGCCAAAGTAGTATATTAACAGGGTAAATTGAATAAAGGATGTAAGGAATTTCTGTATTATCTTTGCAACTTTTCTACAAATCTAAACTTACTTTTAAAAGCTTAGTTAAAAATAATTTATTATGTTGCTTAAATAATCAGAATGTTTTATGGGCTTATAGCATAGGTAAAGCTACGATATATTATAACAGTAGCACAAAAGAAAATAAAGGGAAGCAGAAGTATATGTAGTATAGTTTTTACACCATGTGTGAAGTGGTTTATTATTTTAAGGTAGACTGTTGTAAGTTAAAGATGTATATTGTAAACCTTAGTGTTTTGTGAAAATCTGAGGACAGTATAGAAAAACCACCCTCCATACTGAGAGGGAACTGGCAGACCAAAGAATGACTCACACAAGACCAGCTTGACAAGTTATTAGAAGTTACTTAGTAGGATACTTGCTCGTGGCTGGCATAGGAATTTCTTCCACAGAAGCATTCTTGCATGCAAAATCAGTATTTCCCCTCCCTGTGGTATTGCCTTCAATCTCTTCCCAGCAAGTAATACAAAGTTTTTATGTTGTATCTTTGCTTGTTCACAGTGAGACATACATGCATTACCACCATCATGTGCTGTCACGCAACCCATGTTATGTAAATAATATTATAATTTCCCATTAGGGGGAGATTTTAGCATTTAGAGGTAGAACAATTAAGTTCACAAACTTGCTACTATGTGCTTATGTTGACAGCACTGTACAGACAACTCAATAAGGATTCATAACTTTGGCATGTTAGTATCTCACAGCTGTGTTCATCTCAACATGTGGAGAAATCTTGCTGAGTTGTGTTCATTATTGTTTTCGCATATTTTTGTGTGCCATCACAAGAAAGTCAGAACTTGAATTAGAGCAACAAACAAACATTAACTTTCTTGTTAAATTTGGGTAATGTAGAAGTGAAATCAGGGATGCTTTGGTCCAAATTTATGGAGATGATGTCATGAAGAAAACGGAAGTGTACAAATGAATTAAACATTTTTCTGAAGGGAAAGAAAGTGTCATTGTTGAAGAGAGATCAGGGCAACCAATAATGAGTAGAACTGATGATAACATTGCGAAAATTAATCAAATTGTGCGTCAAAATCATTGGCTGTGTCTGAGAAGCATAGCAAACCAAGTAAACATCAGTGGACACACAGGAAAATCTTACCTAAAAAATCTTAGCATGAGAAAGGTGTGTGCAAAAATAGCCTCGAAGGAGCTCTACGGAAAGTTGAAGTTTGCAAAGACCTTTTTGGAGAGGCAAGACAATGTTTTTGGTCATGTTATTACTGGTGATGAAACATGAGTGTACCAATATGACCCAGAAATAAAGTATCAAAGTGCCCAAAGGAAGCCAGCCAATTCTCCATGACCAAAAAAGTCCAAATCCTGAGTCAAAATGATGTTGCTAACCTTTTTTGAAAGTTAACAATTTAGAAGTGCCAAAAAGTCTATGTGAAAAAGTTAAACAAAAACAACCTGAACTGGGTGGCACCTATGGCTCAATGAGTAGGGCACCGGCCCCTACCGAGGGTGGTGGCTTTGAACCCAGCCCTGGCCAAACTGCAATAAAAAAATAGCTGGGCTTTGTGGAGAGTGCCTGCAGTCCTAGCTGCTAGGTAGGCTGAGGCAAGAGAATCACCTAAGCCTTGGGAATTGGAGGTTGCTATGAGCTGTGACTCCATGACACTCAACCAAGGGCGATAAAGTGAGACTCTGCCTCAAAACAAAACAACCTGAACTTGTACCAACTTACACAGCAGAAGTTGTCTGTGCAGAAGTTTTTGGCTACTAAGCAAATAACTATATTGGAACACTCTCCCTACTCCTTACTCACCTGAGTTGGTCCCCAACAACTTTTTTCTGTACTCAAAGATGAAAGAAATATTGAAAGGAAGACATTTTGATGATATTCAGGACATCATAGTTAATAGTGATAGCTCTGATGGCCGTTTCAGAAAAAAAGTTCCAAAATTGCCTTGAAGGATGGACTAGATGCTGATGTTGGTGCACAGCATCCCATGGGGAGTACTTTGAAGGTGACCATAGTGATATTCAGCAATGAGTTATATAACACTTTTTCTAGGGTGAATTTGCAAACTTAATTGTCAGACCTCACAGAATTTTATGTAAATGTTATCTTACAGTATGTAATTGTTTTTGTCTTTTTTTCATTAAGCATGTTTTTTGAATTCATCCATGTTGAAATTCATATGAGTTCATTCTTTTATCAAGTCTGGTAATCTACTTTTCAATTGGGATGTTTAGACCATTTACATTTAATGTAGTTATTGTTACCACTGGATTTATGAGGTCTGACAATTAAGTTCACAAACTCATCCTAGAAAAAGTACTCACCTTGGTTATCTGGTGACTAGTGATTTTTAGCAATGAGGTATATAGCACTTTTTCTAGGATGAGTTTGTAGACTTAATTGTTTGACCTTGTGTTAAGGGTAAAACAGAAAGCAAATAAATGGTTACTAGGGTCTGTAGTAAAGAAAGGAAATTGACATGATTGTGGTGGTGGTTCTATGATTCTTCATTTGTTAAAACTCATCTACTTATACATTGAAAATGTGTGGAATCTATTTTATAAATAAATTTATTTTAATTTATTTATCTCCATAACATTGTTTGGCATCACACAACTATTATATGCATGAGAGAATTTAAGGAACATAAGGATAAATAAAACTATTTTAAATGAAATGGAGAAAAATGCTGAAAAACAAAATAGATTCAAACCGTTAGAAGTTAATATGATATGTAAAATAAGCTTTAATTATTCTTTTTTAATATATTTTAAAACCATTAGGTTGAATTAAAGCGAAAATACAATGATCATCATTCAAAATTGAGAGGTGTTTTATCTGGCCGTCAGTGGTATGAAATTCAAGCATATAGGGCCTTAAATCAGGCCCTAGGTAGGTAAGTGGAGTGAAATTTAATGTTACTGTAATATTATCTGTGACCAGGGCTATATGTAGAGCTAGTCTTACTACTTTATAATAAATTTGGTAAAATTTTATTTAAATGGAGTTTTAGGAACTGATACGTTTTCTTTTTTCTTTCTTTGTTTTTTAGAGGAGGAGTTGGTATATAGGTAAGAAATTAGTGTAGCCAGGTTAGTGGTGGAGAACAGATGGTGGGGGAGTAGAGGAGATGAAAAGGAAACATCAGCTGGGCACGGTGGCTCACGCCTGTAATCCTAGCACTTTGGGAGGCTGAGGCGGGAGGATTGCTTGAGCTCAGGAGTTTGAGGCTTGTCTGAGGGAGAGTGAGACCCCAACTAATGGAAAAATCCAGTCGGGCACTGCAGCGAGCGCCTGTAATCCCAGCGACTTCGGAGGCTGAGGCAGCAGGATGCCTACAAGCCAGAGTTTGAGGTTGCAGTGAGCTACAATGCCATTGCACTCTGCTCAGGGCAAAGGGTAGAACTCTGTCTCGACAAAAAAAAAAAAAAAAAAGAAAAGGAAAGGAAACATCATCTGAAAAATGTAGCAGGATGCATTATGATTAGGACATTTTTGATCATTTAACTTATTAGAGATAGAGAAGTGATTTTTCTGAAGTCCCTTAAGGGCCACCAAATGATAGATTTGGAAAATGCTCTCAGTTGGTGCTGTGTGCAGGACAAGACAAGAAATTGGCCAACGTTAAGATATAAAAGTGTAAGTTTACTTTGTATTAGAGAAAGGGAAGAGGGGTGAGGTAAGAAAGAGAGAGAGAAGAGAGCAGGGAGTGAGAAAAGGGAAGATGAGGGCAGGGAGATAAAAAGAGCAAGAGAATGGTGTTGCTTCCCAAAGAAAGAAAAGAAAGAATGCCAGCAGAACTGATAATATTTTCAAAGATATACGTCATATGTGGAAGTTGAAAAAAGTAAACTGAATAAATGAAACTCGAAATAAAACTCATAATCTGCTAACATTTAAAGAAATTTTGTGATTGGTCAAATAATGAATGGCACATAAAGGTGCTAAATAATCTTACCACCAAATTAAAAAGCTATATCTCGTGAACATCAAATTTAAGATGATGATTGATAGACATATTCCTCCCCCAATATGTCAGGGAATAAAGTTGATAAATTAGTCATGAGGCGGAGGTATTCTATTTACAGAGTTTACTTTCAATAATTGAATGTATGTATATAGAATCCATATATCTTTTACTTTCATCAAATACAAACAAAATATCTTACAGTACCAAGTGAGATCTTATAGTTGCGTAATTTTTTATTCAACTTCCATGTAAAGAAGGCATCTAGCAAAAAAAAATTTTGTTTTAATGTCATTTCTCAGGTTTAGATAACAATGTGATTGCACTCTGTATTTTCCTCTGTCTTCTATGTTTGGTGATAATGTTGACAGGTAGCATTGAAATCGAAGGATATTGATTAATTAAAGAAAGAAAAAAGAATAGTTACTGTTTTGAGAAGTAGAAATTTGCAATAAAGCATTTAGCAATTCAAGAAGGGTTAAAACAAGCCATGGTCATAGTACTAAAGAATTAACACCAACTAAACAACATTTGATCCTAATAGTACTCCATTTTCAAAGATTTCTTACCCATTAAGATTTGTATTTTGTTTCATTCATTTTTAACTCATCATTTTATTAGTCATGTGGCTATGTCCTGAGAAATGGGTTGTTAGGCGATTTTATCATTGTAGAACATCATGGAGTGTACTTACACAAACCTCGCTGTTGTAGCCTACTGCACACCGAGGCTATACAGAATAGCCCATTGCTCCTAGCCAGCACCTGGCTAGCTTTTTGAATGGCCTTTTACATCTTGGTCCCACCTACTTGCAAAACTTTAAGACCTGCTTTTCATCCTTATTCCCTCCCTTTGCCCACTAAATCTTTCACTATTAAACATAAACATCTCACTATTAAATATTTTGTATTCTTTCATTACTCTCTGCCTTAGCAATAAGTTACCCTGAAATTCACTTGACAAATTTATCAATAAAATCCTAGTTGAAAGTTATGTCCTTTATAAAAATTTGTACAATTTCTACAACTAGAATTATTTAAACCTTAGTAAACTCATAGCATTTGTATGTTATCTACATTGTAGTATGTATATGATTGTATCATAATAGCCTATTTATATATCTATTTTGTTCCCTAAACATGTGTTATACATTTTTGCATTTTCATCAACCATGTGTCAGTTTGGAACATAGTTCTTTTTTTTGTTTTTGTTTTTGTTTTGTTTTTTAGAGACAGAGTCTTACTTTATCACCCTTGGTAGAATGCCGTGGCATCACAGCTCACAGCAACCTCCAGCTCTATGGCTTAGGTGATTCTCTTGCCTCAGCCTCCCAATGGAACATAGATTTTTAACAAATGCTTGTTGAATTAGTGAAAAATGCATAGTTCAATGCTTTTTCCCATTATACCACATTGCCCAGAGAGCTTTTAGAACTTCAAAACATGTTTTTGTAGAATATCATTAAAATTCTGTGTTTATAGTAATGACATATAATACTGTACTTTTAGTAATATATTAATTTTTTTAAATGGAGACCCCTGTTATCATTTTACTGATTTTTCAGCAAAACAATATCATTAAGAAGTAGCAGTTTGTTACAGAGGAACTTATCCTTTGAAAATCAATCAATAAAAATTTTAAAACTTTTTAAAAAGATCAAGTGAATGTTTTGTATAATTTAATAAAATTCATTATATTGATTGACAGAGAAGATTGCTTATACTCTGAGGCACTCTTTTTATAAGGGATACATTTAGAAGACCTAAAGTAAGCAGAAACCGATGTAATTTTTAATTTTTTTTTTGCAGCTCAGATCGGACTGTTAAGAGTATTTAAGTAGTAAAGTCCATGAAATATAATAATAGCCTTTGGAAGCATACCATATGGTTTTGCAACCGGGTTACAACTGCATTGAGTTTCCTTACTAGTCTGCTTTACTTAAAATTTTTTGTTTCAAGTGGGCGTAATTCATTTGAGCAAGGCAGTATGAAAACAGTGGGAAGAAGAAAAGGTGAAATCTTTTTCTCTGAACGTTTTGTTAACTTCAATACCTTTCTACCATAGAACACTTTAAACATGAATCAAACCAGAACCAAAATAGGCATTCTGACTTTCCTTTCGTTTTCAGCATTCTTCCATAGTATTGACAATATTTATCTTCTTCCTATCCTGCCCAATGTTTTGGTCTGTTGCCTTGGAACTTACAGCTTACTTTAATATCAAAAAAGATTGCCCTATAAAGTTTAGATTTATTAAGTCTCTGTGGAAAAATTAAACATTTATGTTACTTTCCACCTCCTCAATCCCATGATAGTAAAAGAATAAAAATGTCAAACCTACAAAGTTACAGAATGAGAGGAAACAATGGCAGAAAAGAGATGTCAACAAAGTTTGAATGCTAGAAGATTGAATGACTACGTGACTTAGGAGTCAAGGGAAAGAACAAATTTAAGTCTGTAGCAATGGCCATGCATAATAGCTCATGCCTGTAATCTCAACACTTTGGTAGGCCAATGCAGGAGAGCCATTTGAGACCAACCGGGGCAACACCGTGAGATCTCACCTCTACAACAGATTTTTTAGTCATTTATTATCATGCCTGTAATTTAGTTCTAGCTACTAGAGAGGCTGAGCCAGGAGTATCACTTGGGGCAATAGAAAGAGACCCTATCTCTAAAAAATTTAACAGGTGTCTGTGGCTCAGTGAGTAGGGCACCAGCCCCATATACCAAGGGTGGCGGGTTCGAACCTGGCCCCAGCCAAACTGCAGCAAAAAAAAAAAAAATAGCCAGGCATTGTGGCAGGCACCTATAGTCCTAGCTACCCAGGAGGCTGAGGCAAGAGAATCACCTAAGCCCAAGAGTCAGAGGTTGCTGTAAGCTGTGATACCACAGCACTTACCAAGGGCAACAAAGTGAGACTCTGTCTCTAAAAAAATAAATAATTTAAGAAACTAGTTCAATAAATAAATAAATCTACAGTGATGAAAATAAATAAGAACCTCCACATTCATGCATGGAAAAGCCCAGGATTTGGCCCACTCTAAAGTATCAATTAAAGTAAAGTCATAAATGTCTGCAAATTGGTCTTATTCCTACCAAGTTACCCTACAGCAAAACCCCCCAGCCTCTGAGCCTCACCCATATTACAGAGCTGCCAGTCACTTAATTTTCTCTTAATTAAGTGAAGAGTCTTCACCAGATATTCAAAAGAAACCTCTAATATGAAAAATAAATCAAAACAATAGCAAATCAATTCCAATGATAGAAAAACAGAGGCTCGGCGCCTGTGGCTCAAGCGGCTAAGGCGCCAGCCACATACACCTAAGGTGGCGGGTTTGAATCCCCAGCTCGGGCCCACCGAACAACAATGATGGCTGCAACCAAAAAAAGGCCAGGCGTTGTGGCGGGCACCTGTGGTCCCAGCTACTTGGGAGGCTGAGGCAGGAGACTTGCTTGAGCCCAGGAGTTGGAGGTTGCTGCGAGCGTGATGCCATGGCACTCTACCCAGGGGGATAGCTTGAGGCTCCGTCTCAAAAAAAAAAAAGAAAAACAGAAACAGTACCATAAAATAGAACAAGGATTGACCAACTTTGTCTGTAAAGAAATGTACAGTTCAGTGGTACCCCCTTATCTATAGTGTATACATTGCAAGAACCCCAATGGGTGCCTAAAACCATGGATAGTGCTGAACCTTATATATACTATGTTGTTTCCATCTGATATCTGGGATAGCTCTTATGTGACTAAAGGGAAGAAGGTGTATACAGTATGCATATGCTGGAGAATAGAACTAATTAACATCCTGAGTGTGACAGCATGAGACTTATCACACTACTCAGAATAGCATGCAGTTTAAAACTTATGAATGGTTTATTTCTGGAGTTTTCCATTTAATATATTTGGGCCAAGGTTGACCATGAGTACCTG